ATATATATATATATATATATATATATATATACATACAATTTAAAAATCCATAATGTAGCGAGATTTATATATCAAAGCAATATGATTAAATTTACTAACTAAAACACAATATATTAACAACTGGAACTCTTAAAACATACCTTATAACCACACTGAAGATGGAGGTCACTAGCTTTTGGATGAAAACGTAAATCAATTCTTTCACCATTATCACGAATAATATACTTTGCTCCAGGATACTGGCTATTTCCACGTCTTACTAGCTCATGCATCCTGAAAAAATAAGATATATATATATATCTTTCAATCAAACAAGTTAAATATTCAATACCAATTAACAAAAACAGTACAATACTATATCAAAATTAAATTTTTTCCAGCATAATGTATTCAATAACATAATTTTTTTCTAATGTGTAACTACTGGATTAACAATTATAATTTGTCTGATTTTTAAAAAATGTTAAGCCTTCTTTTACTTCCATAACCTACAAACCATAATAGTAAAATTTCAATTACTTGATTATTTCCGCAACACTTTGATTTAATCATAATTTTGAGTAACTGAATGTTGGAATATTGAAAAACTGTAATAAAAGAAAAATTAATTTTCATTAGTTTATTATTTTTGTGACAATTGATTTAATTATAATTAGGATTAACCAACTGTTAGAATAATCAAAAACTGTAACAAGAAACACTAATTACAATTAATTAATCAATATTGGACTAATCATAAACTGTACTAAAAGGAAACATTACTTCTGATTAATCAATTGTTGGACTAACAGAAAACACTAATTTTGATTAAAGTTTCATCCTCCTGTTTACGAAGAAAATGGGTGTACTACAAGTATTTCAAAATAGGAATGACCAGTTTTTGGTACCCAATTATAAAGAAAAATGGAACTATGTTACAATATGAAGTTAATGAAAAAACAAAATAAAAGCTATTTTCAGTGCATTTTGGATTAACTTAACATTATGTGGGGATTCTAAGTTTTATGGTGTCATTAAAATATTGCATTACATAATGTTTTGAAAATTCTCTCCAAATTTATTTTATAAGTATGTTAATTCTGAGACATTCTACCATCATGGTATAGATTTAGTGGTTAGTAAATGTGAATCACTCAAATTTAAAAAAAATAAAAGTTGTGTTTATTGCAGTAATATATGTGATGATATCTTACTTTTATTAAAACATACCTTCTAAACTAAGTGTACCTATTACACAAAATAAAGTTGAATTTTCATTTCTTTTCTGGATGATGTCAACTAAATGATCTCATTTCTAATATAAGGCAAAAGTTCCAATGGAGCAGGCCTTTTGATTTTAGCCTCTGATAGGCTTAACTTTAAAAACAGTAGCCTACATATTATGGCAGTGTATCAACTCCAAACCTATTTAAGCTGTCTGTCACTGACTATACTGTAATGTAACACGTTTTAGTTAGACAAAATGTTTTACAAATTTCATTGTTTTCTTTATTTTTTTCTGGGAGGTAGGAAGGTTGCAAGATCAATTCCACTGATATAAATAACTGTACCCATTAGTAATGAATTAATCCATCATTATACACGTACCTCTGCATGGTCCCGAAAGTGTTGTTTCAAGAGTAAACAAAATCAAAAGTGAGAGTAACAAATATTTTTATTTCTTGCTTTTGAAGTTCATATGTCATGCTGTGTTATAACCTACGGAGTGCATAATTCTTCTCATGATTCGTGGCATGTACGTTTTACTGACGTCATGACAGTAAAAATTATAAAGTTAAGCATCCCTTATGCGACATCATTTTAATGTATACTGACTGACTGACAGACAACACATTACTGTATAGTGGTGGAAGTGGTTAAAACAGGTGACCCCTCCAGGTGGTCTGCAGCCCACTTTCAGGGAAATAATAATAACAGCTAAGTACAATCTAAAGAATTTATTCAATGTCTAAATACATGCTTCACATTTATCAACTAAGATATATAATTTGATATATTAAATATGTCAATTTTCTTTTGATACCACCAAATGCAATATCACACAAAAATTCAAAAATTAGACAATTTCCCCAAGCATACTCACTTGTCAATGTTAAATGGTGTCACTATTTCTGGAAATGTCAAGTTTTGTGCAATAGAACGTGGTACTCCTACTTCATCTATTCTTAAATTGGGATCAGGTGTGATAACAGTTCGAGCCGAGAAATCTACTCGCTTTCCCATGAGATTACCTCGAATCCTCCCTTCTTTGCTTTTTAATCTTTGCTTCAAAGACTTTAGAGGTCTTCCTGATTTTTGCATTGCCTATAAGTAAGTAGAAATACAGTATATGCTACAACAAATATATTTTTTTAGAACATTACGAGTATACAATCTCTTAATAAATCGCACATGGCTGACTAAGATTCATTTATATATAACTTTTTTTTAAATAATTCAATGATGCTACTAGTCTTGTTTAATTCTCGTTTATGTCTGTTTATCAATAAACTTTGTTTTATTTCATACCACCATCTTGAAACTTTCTTTCATTGTGGGTTCATCACCATGTTTCAATAAGTGTTCTTTTATACTAGAAAACTGTGTAGATCTAAAATCCATGTGATCCTTAACTCTAAGTATTTCATGGTAAATCCAATATACCTAGACTTACATCTAGGACATTCTGCTACAGTTGGGAAGGATGTATGGATGAAGAATTACATGATGCCAAAGTATATCATCTTTGGGTGATGGTCATCAGTCATATGACCAGTAATGGTCACTTTACTAACCCCTAACAGTTTTAATTCTTACTGGCAAGCTATCTATTCTTCTCCTGTTACTAGCTATCACATTGCTCCTTCGTGCTAGTCATTTCTACCTTACCATTATTAATTTATTGTCTTTTTTCATTTTATTACAATGTCTACCATCTGTTGGCAACTCCTCATCATATTACTGTTTATCTTCTGCTAGCATAGCCTAATCAGCAATAGTCAACAGTTGCACTCTTCAACCAAACAGTATTTATTAATCAAGCTGCTGTTTGTTAGTGTTTCACCATCCTTGAAAACCCATCAATATGTTTGTTGTTGTTATATTATTTTGTATGTTTCATATGATAGTCCTGTTGTTGGTATCATGAACCCCTACAGGTTTGACCCTGCTGCATAGCTAAAGGAAGTATTTTACTTTTATTGGTTTTTTTTCCCTTGCTTTTTTTGAGATTGCTTATTCATGATTTGACAATCAAAAAGAAATCAACTATTAGGGTTAATGACTTAAGTTTATAAAAAAGACTATAGAAATGCCAATTATCCAGAGTCCCATATCAGTATCAATGTCCAAAATGCAATTCTAAGTATCTTGGATCTATTGTGAGATCCTTAGAATCACAAATTAAGGAACATTTAAATTTTAGATTTAAGTTTTCTAGAACTGAAGAGCATTCCTAGAAACAGTTGATAAGTGAGTCCCCAATGAAAGGCTTCAAGATTATAATTCAAGATGAGCACACAAATTAACAGTAGATGAAAGTCATTACTAAACAGGTGTAAACCAGAAGTAAACATTATTAACGTTACTAAGCTACTTCTATTGATTTAAATCCTCCAATCAGAGGGTTTGGACAGATTTTGAAACCTCTTATCTCATTCTTTATGTATAGTGTTAGTTTTGTTATGAAACTTGTTACAATCAATTATAAAAGAATGTCAACTAATTCTATAATATGCAAAACAGCATGCTGTTACCTACCCTAGGCAAACCTGGAAGTTCATTATCAACAAGTGTTGCTACATGGAACTGAAGCATTTTAATATTTTCAGCAATAATGTGAGCTGCTGCTCCATTTTGTTCATTCCTGATCAGTTCGTTGTTTGCCTTTACTATATCAGCTAACTTGTGGGTCAGATCATCCTGAAAAAGAATCCTCACTTTCAGCAATTTTAAGATGAAAATAACATATGTACGAATAATACAATATTCTCAATTTACTAATTAGACTACAAGTAGCTTATCACAGTTTACACTGACCAGAAACACTTCTTCCAAATTTAGTTCATTCTCAGTGCAAATTGTTAGGCCAAATTTCCTTCTTCAGGTAATCAAAACATCAGTAATTTCTGTTCAAGACTTTAGATATGGAGAACAAAACTATACAAAATACTATAACTAATTACTTTTATTTGTATATGTATGAAAATTATAATCAAGATCTGTTAATTTCAAGTTAGATCCAAATAAGCATTGGATCAGAAGTGTCCCATTTGAGAAAATTTTTAACAATATTATCCCACTTATCAACGTTTTAGCTAGTTAGTATGCAACTTCTTTCTTCATCGAAATAAAAACTTCTGCATATTTTCAACAAATTTCAAGACTAAAACTGAAAGAAACTAGTAAATCAATAACATTCAAGATCTTCAAAACATATTATAAATAATAAGAGATTTAATAACTTGTAACACCACTCAAACGGTTTTTCTTTGTTATTGTGTTATAATATTACAACCTATAAATACACAAATATATAAATTTTGCACCCTACCTGCTAAGAAGAATTTGTCTATAATTCTTACTTCCCCTCAAATGTTTTAATAAAACTTGGCTTACCTGGTTTCTTGCTGAACCAAACATGACTACTGCTGGCCTCACTGGTAATGGTGGAACAGGAAGCACTGTAACCAACATCCAATCTGGTCTAGCAAAACGAGGGTCCATTCCTAATATCTGACACTCCTCATCTGATATGTGCTTGAAAATTTCCCAAACCCTCTCAGCAGATAACTGAATTTTCTTTTCCTGGGAATCTTCATTCACATGCTTCCATTCTGCAGTCAAATCCAAGCCACTTTTACGAATTTTTGGTTGATAACGCCCACAACCTCCATGGCCCTAAGACAAAATACAGAAGCTGTTCACCACATAAAAATTCTCTGTAAACACAAAAATACCAATTTTTTTGAAGAAGGTAGAATTTTACTATCACAAAAAGTTTTCATTTAATTCTCCTTATAAAAGATTAAAATGTTCAAAAAACTTGTGACTTGTGATTCTGTCTTGATTTTAATCAAGAGCACAAATAAATTACGATGTCTACCATTTTTTAGATCAAAATAAACTTACCATAACTGAGATAGCAAACAAGACCACAATTAAAAAATAGCTTTGTATGACCTTGTCTAACTTAGTCTAAAAATAGTGGAACAGTAGGATTTTTTTTTCTAATAGATCAAAAACCAGATACAATATTTATATTGCCTTAACACATCTGAATGCTTCTTCATACGGTTTTAAAACTAAATGCTTTCAGTTGCATTGTGTGTTTTCTTATTTTGACTAAATCATATGTACCCTCTGTGGCATGGCAGCTAGTTTCATAACATAATTACATAATAACTAGTAAGAAGACATATGCATAGATCACTGACAGGTTGCTCCAAGTATTTTAATGACTGAAAGGTTCTAATTAGTGATACATGCTGTTGAAGATAGCTTATTAACCCTATCCACATGGGTCAAAGGCAATGTCATAGTTTGTTGACTTGCATTCAATATTTTATTGAACTACCATTTTATGAATTTTTGTCTATAAATCTGGCATCAAATTGAAGATTATAATTAAAATTTTTGTATTATACATCAGTTAATTTCTTAATTTAAAAGTTAATATTAAAAAAAACCACCTAAATACTGATTTTTGTGTGTCACATGATAGGTTGAATGCAGCACTGGTTCAAATTATGTTTTTGATGGCTAAATACAGTGTAAAGTTTTGTACAAATTAGGAACTCAAATTAACCACATTGACAAGTTAGAATATAAAATAAGAACATCTTATATTTTCTATTTGCTGAGATATCGCAACGTTTACTGAAACACAGTGGCCCCACCCACTTCTTTCCAAACACTTCCTTATGTACACCTGCTTCTGTCTATGACATGTGAATAACCAATCGAATGGTCTGAATGTCCCCTAGTGGCTTTCTCAGTGTCATTGAAGTATCAGGGCTCCAAACTCATTCTTTTCATACTAGATTTGAAGCTGGTAAGGTAAGTCTTTAGTGAGCTTGAAATTTCATATTTGTTTAGACCCAAAAAGAGCTTGATAAATTATAGTGGAATTCTATGGTATTGACATAGGAATTTATGATTTTTGTTCATTTCAAATGTATATATAAAGCTTTAAAAAAATTTTGATTCATATCCTCCACGTGCAAAATTTCACAAAGCTTAGCAGGTAAGCAGCAAAAGAGTGCAAAATTCCTAATTAGAAGAGATAACTGTTTGCTTTACTTCTTTATTTAATGTTCTATGTTTTAATAATTTATTTTAAAATAGTAATAATCTATATACATATATAATGTATAATAATTGAAATGTGACTATTTTATAAAATACTATTCTACTAAAACACATCCAAGACAGGTTACTTTGTACAGACCAAAGGTCAGTTCTATGTTATTTGATACAGTAACATGAGTGCAAGTGAGCAGCATCATTGTAACTTCTGTATTGTTAGCCAGGCACCACTGAAGATCAATATAATAAAAATAAATATGTATAAATGTATAATGTTATGAGATTTAAGCTATTTAGTCTAAACATTTATGTGTATGTTATAATTTGTGTTCATTCTAGAATGAAAGAGGCATAATTTATATTTATGTCCTAAATTTTTATGGTTGTTACGAGACTGGGCAAATCTACCAAACCCAAACAGAGATTAATTACTGAAAATAACGGATAAAATATAAAGTTTATTAAAAAACATTTGGTAACTATTTGGACGTTATAAAGATTTCGCATGTGAAATTTGAAAATTTTTCTTATGTATAAGTATTTTTAATCTTACAATTAATATTACTTTCCATGATAGATAGACAAAATGCAAAAAGACAAAAAAGGCATGAGAAAAACATTGCTTTACAAACCTTAAGACTTAAAAAAAAAAAATTGATATTTTGCATATGAAAGAATTGTAATGTTTACTGATAAATCTGTCAAATTCCATTAACATCCGTTTAATATTTCAAAAGTTATAGCATGAAAACTATAACAAGCACAAAATGGTTACTAGGTCAGTCCCAGGTACCGAGCCCATGCTGAAAGAGTTAATAAGGCTATGACTGTTAACCAGTTTGGAAAGGTGGCTGTTAAATTAAGATCTGTTTTCCTTAAGCCAGTTGCAGTTCTATTAACTAGGCACAATAAGGTGCTTTACCAACACGAACGTACTGTACAGAATGTGAATTTTTTATCTAAAGTACTATTATTGTTCCATACAATGTAATTTAAAATTACACGTAAATGTTTTATTTGATTTATATTGATCACATATATATATTGATTTGAATTGTGTATTATAAAACATTGTTCGTTTGTGGATTTTAATACCTTCATACATTATTTTCATATTCATTCAAACTGCTATTAAATGTTAAATACTTCATGTAAAACCAATACACAGCCATAACACTGGAGCATTCAAAAAAAATTTGTCAAATATAGCACTATGGCAAAAATCAAATTCAGACAAATGTAAGGGAGAGTGGATTAAAAATAAATATAAAATATTTAAGTTGATTATATGAAGGAAAAAAATACATTTTTTGATATTTTGACCCAATTAATTAACTGTTAACATAAAACATAAGACAGTGCTTTTTGTTAAACACACTAATATAATGGTATAATGTTATGTGCACTTCAGTCTGAAAAATAAATAACTAAATGTTATGCTTTAACTTGTTTGTCATTCATGCCATTTGTGTATCCTAGTCCAAATAAAAATTAAAGAACAAGTGATGCAATTTAAACCAACTGAACAAAAGAAATAATTTTGAGAAAGAACATATTGCATTAAGAACCTTTCATTGGTCAGCATACATACACAAGGAACAGAAAAATAGCCCTCAGTAAAAAATTAGAGTGACTGACATTTCAATCATGTAATTCATATTATGTCATATTCATCACTGGGCTTTTAAAATTAAACTAATTAATGATTTTGAAATGCGGCAAACATTATGCAAGCTAAATTTTCTTATAGTCTCATTAAAATAATTTTCTATAACTATATACAATGCATTTCAAAATAAGCCAAATATATATCATGCAACACTTTTGTTCTGGGCAAATTATATGATACTTGTTTTAGTTTTCTAATTTTATTAAGTATATTTTCCTTCTGGAGAAAATGGAAAATTAAAGGACAAGAAAAAACTTGTTTCAGCCTTTACAACCTGTAACAGCACTGGTTGAGTCAGTACCAGTAAAGGAAATAATTATGTTGATTATTTTTTTGTAATGTGATTAACTTCCACTTTATAATTAAAGAAATAATAAAAAATTATTAATAAAAATGCATGAATTTACTCAAATGATGTTGAAGTACCTTTAAGAACAATGTACTTGCACTGGATTAAGCTTTCTAAAAACAACTGCATGCATGAATGATACACATTATACACATGTTTTATACACATTCATTTATGGCTCATAAAAGGTATCAAAATTACAAAATGGACACTCCAAAGCTTCAAAGGATATACATACCAGCTTTTTTGTAGGTTCTTCAGCATGCTGCTGAGCTTCATTAATCAATTTTGTGTCCATCTCATCACCCCCTTCACAAATGTTCTTTCCTTTGCACAGATCATAAATATGAGCCAGTCTTTTCCTTGGCTGACCTTTGGACTTGGTTATTATTTCCTTGATTTTTGGATTATTCTAAAGCAAGTGTATGCAAATAATTTTGAGAAATCTTGAAGTTAGTTTAAAATAATTTTTATTATATTTTCTGGAAATGATTTTGGATAATCAGTTTCAAAACAAAAACAATCATAAAATCAACTTATTAGCATTAAACAAAATCAAGAGTTAGGCTTTTGCTCTTTATTATTAATGAAGTCTGAATTTACTTGCACATGAAAATTTCATATTTTCACACTCAACTTTATTTAACACTATAAATTTGGTAACTATAAGTTTCACTCTAAAACAGTAATATATTAAACCATTAATTTGTCTCACTAATAAAATGAGAACTTACTGGGCTGACAAGTAGTTTGGAGCAGTAAAAGCATACACATCTTAAGATTTTGATGGTCTTAGTCAGGAATCCTACATGAAAAACAGGCTTGGCCAATTCAATATGGCCAAAATGGCCTGGACATTCTGTCATGTTCCCAGCACATGTCTGACAGCGGGAATGCCTATCAATCACACCCTGCCGAGGGTCCATCAAGCCACCCAGTTTTGGCCTACCTCCTTCATAAATTTCAGAATAGCGAATCCCACCTTCCGTGACAGACATTCGAAGCTAGAAAAATTCAAAATATGCGTGTAAAACTGTTTTCTCCATGCTGGGAATACAATATATCAATATACATAAGAATAAAAGTAATAATTACAATGAAAAGCAACTATGCATTAATCAGACTTTATAATAAATGTAATTTAGGTAAAAATTAGTCAAAGATAAATACACCAATACCAATAAATATGGTTACAGTACAAACTATTATGTGATATTTATAAGATATATTTTGATTTACATGTATATCTGGAAACAATACTTACAAAGTGCATAAAAGTAATTTTCAAAAATTATGACCAGAGAAGGGGTTTTTCAAACCCACAGTGTCCTACATTTTATTTACCTGCACTTTGTTGTACAAAAGTAGCTACTTGAACATAAATTAAGTAATTATTAAAACACACTGAAATCTTACCTAAGTTTAAAACTATTTAAAATAAATACGGATAAGTTAGCCCATATAATGGTACTTCTACATTTGTGTAGATAAAAATTAATTCAATTGTTGCTGCATCTAAAGTATAGATATTTCAAATATAAAGCATAATTATTAAATGCTTTTGAACCTCAGTCAAATTTCTTTGGAAAAATCAAAATTTATAAGGAAATGACCACTATGTCACATATCTATAATGTACTATGTTGTTATGCTTTATATCTTCAAAACCATTAATCTAAAAATAGATTTAGATATTCTAAGAAAGTCTAATGACACTGTGTTTACCCACTCAATGTATTTCCAAGATATTTTATGTACCATTAAAAATAATATAAATACAGCATTTATCTTATTTACAAGCTACATATGTACTCTTCTCAGACATTATATACAAATGTTTCATTAAATATTTGTATTTTTGGCTAATCCATCCCTTACACATCACGAAATGAGTTTTAAATTATTATAATCCAACTTCATATTTTCCATCTTATTTCTACATCTTCAATATAAACCTTCAAGAAAGTTGTTGATACAGTTATTATTCTAACTGAACACACCCTACCAGTAACAGGGAAACTGTCTGGTATTAGTTGTGATTTTCTTATACAAATAAACACAGAAACATAACCATAAATAAAACCAGTAAGATCTTTACTTAAGATTTAATAGTTGTCAGTACAAGTATGATACTTTAGTGTTATACTACCACAAGATCATATTACTTTGAAAAGTTCTCATATGATTACCAAAATACATAATAAACAATATAACATACAAAAGATTCAGTTAATATTCATTTGGGTCATAATTATGAAACAAAATTAAAGACCATGAAATATCTTTCTATAGAACTATGTTTGTGTTAAACTTAATGATTCTCTCCTTCCCTGATGACAAGCAAAATATATTTTAAATTTACAAGCCCTCAGTAAAAAATTAGAGTGACTGTATTTCAATCATTTTCTTCATAAAATGAAGCTTTCATCATTGGGCTTTAAAAAATCATTTTCACCATTTCATTTTCCAATGGTAATATACAACTGACCTGCATTTTAGACTTGGGTAGACATTCATTTAGTAATATTTCTCATTTTCTCTGAGGAATCATAAAGTGGCACAAATAATTTTACAAAGCTTGTACATACAACACAAGAACACTAAAATTAAATCTGCGATCAATCTCCAAACTGTCGTCAATACTGATCGAAACTAAAGAATTCCCCAACACTTTTCCGATCTGTTTTTTTATATAAATTAGATCGGTAAGTTTGTTCACCTATGAAAGTATGCAGTACATTCAGGTACCTTCATGATTGAGAGAGCACACAATATCCTGAAATGAGGATTGTTTTAAAAGTTTACAGAAAGATCTCTGTAAGAGGAGTTCATCTTCATCTAATATATATTTATTTGTATTCCGATGAAAATGTGTCCTTTTTGTAGTTTGATAAGCGAGTGATTTATTTGATGACAAGTTTTTATGTTTGATACACACAACTAGTATATATACATTAGGGACGCCCAGACATGCGAAACACATAAATGCAGATCATCCAAATCCAATCCTGATATCAAAAGATCTTGGGCACATCAGCCCCAATCCAATATTTCACTCAGATTGCAGGCTTAACTAAAATTTACTTCTACAATAAGACAGGTTTGCAGCAATGGGTATCAAAAATAAAAGCCAACAAGTGTGAAATCATACTTATAATTCAAATTATAAACTTATTGGTAACACTGACTATAAAACAAAACTTTACAGATAACAGTGTATGTTGATAACCACATATACTCTCCTGAGCATTTATAATTACATTTATGCCTACAATAAAGATAACTTTGAAGCTACTATTCTAGTACATATTCCATTTATTTAGTAAAAAACACAACCTACAATTATACATACACAAGGAGTTTGAAAAGTTGGTGTTCCCCAAGGAAAACAACTTTCATAAAGCACTGAACAGAGCAGTAGATGAGCTTTAAAAAAATGTAAACAATTTGCCTATCACTTGTAATGGAAGTTGACATTTACAAGTTATCAGTGAGTAAAATGGTAGTCACACAGAGTTGAATAGTGATTTTGAAAATACTTTCAAAGTAATTACAGATCAGAAAAATGTTCCTTGTTTTTCATAACATTTTCTTGTTGTTGATAGCAATTTTTTTGTTATATTATTATTATTTTTAATTACAAGTGTATTTTTCTGTTCTAGAGTAATCATCTAACGAACACTTGGCAATCATGAGCATGATAGCCTATAGAACATTCTACAACAGTAAGTCATTACTGATCATGATCGTGCAAGATTTATGTTTTTTGATCAGGTTACTTAACTGATTGATGGGCAAAAAATTGCACTACAAGAAAAATATATGTTAATGACTATAAAACAAGTTCAAATTTGATATATAAAACTATGAAAAATCAGGTTTTGAACATTTTTTCACCAACAGGTAACAATACAATTAATATACAAAATATTGAATACCTACAAATTGTACATTAAATCAGTTTGTAAAAATAACTTCCATTTGTTAACTTCAGTGGTACAAGCAGAATTACAAATGGGACAAATATTTTCCAACTTTGTTTCTAAAGCCTGATATGCATATATCACATGCACAAAACAATCTTAAATATTAAGTTTCCAGAATGCAAAAGCCATGGAAGTATAGAGACCATATATTAAAACTTACAATCTCATCTGGACTCAAAATTCCAAACTGGACCTTCTTCACATCCCTTAAAGGTGCTTTAGAATCTGAAGTTACAATGGACGTCATGCTGAACCTTTATACAACTCTTGCAATGGCTGTCCAATGTATCAGATGCAAAACTAAGTAATAAGCTTTGATTCAGCCAACCTGAAAATAAACATTCTTTAAAATAAATAATTTATAAAAACTGAAATTTAATCCTAAAAGCCACATACAATATCACACTTGAACAGTTCATTAAGAAGACATTTCAAGTATACATGAGAACACACAGTCTATTAAATATCTTGAATAACATATTTGATGCTTTGGTGTCCAGGTAACAGCTAGTCCTGAATTACACATTTTTCTTTTAACTTTGCTTCTTTAAGTAATCAAATATAAGGACTTTCATGAAATACACAAGTGCATTAAATTAGAGATTACTCAATTATCAACAACTGAATGTAAAGTAATTAGTACAATTTATTTTTAAAACTTAACTTTGGAAGAGAATTCCAGTTTTCAAAAATAAATAAAATTCAGTATTTTTTTTGTGTGTATGGATGTATACAATCATTGATGGTCTAAAAATAACTTTGCTAATACAAAAAGATAACATTAAATGAAGTATAGGCAGAGTTGAAAGTAAGACAGTATTTTAGAGCTCCAAGACAAGTAAATTAGAAATGCTTGTAGTTGTACATCGGAATGTTTTCTGAAGTGTTACAACGTTATTATTAAAATATAGCAGAGCTAATTCAGTGATTTAAATTAGTCACAATTGAGGTACAAGTAAGCCTAAAGTTAAAACATTAGGCTTAATTAGTTAATAGTAATACTAATTGTCAGGCTTAACTCACTGTTTAGAGGTAGCAACACTAGGTTATAAATTATGAAATTCTGGATAAAATAGAGAATTGTCAGAAAGAAGAATTTATTTATCTCAAAGAATCAATTTATTGTTTCTGTTACTTGGTACCAGCTGGGTATTTAGTACATTACTAAATATTTAAATTGGCAATTAGTTCTATGTAAGCAGAGATACATTGTGATTATAGCTATGGTATTAGTAAATGGGGATTTTCATGTTGGATGACTCTCTTAACTGTAAAATAGCTTGATTTTAGAAATATATTATTATTTTATGTATAGATTAGAAATGGAGAATAAAAAATTAATAAATTTAAATACAGTTACAAAGTAGGAGTAGAATTTATAGGGTTCATAGGTGTTGGACTGGTTTATGCTTAAGAATTATGGTCACAAGTGTAAAAATGAGTGCTGGGTTTAAGAGTGCACAATAACAAAACAGTGGGGCTATATTGACAGATTCAGTTGACACTCAGGTACCATTCTCTTAAAAGATAGGAACCTTTGGTTGTTTGCAGTGAGGTTTAACATAGTAGGAACTCTCTCATCAAGTATAACGAAAAAATTAAAAGTAGTGGACAGAGCTTTTAACTCAATTAACCAATTACCTACAAGCACTAATTATACTGATTAGTCATGTAAAATAATGCACACGTACAGATAAACTTCGTAGTTGCTAGCATCAACTTTGAATACCATATACAATTTTGGTCTCCTTTGGAAAGATTGAATACTAATTGGAAACAGTTCATACACCTACAAGGATGGTTCTGGAAATTGAAAAAATTATTTTACAAGGAGAGGTTAGCTCTCCCAACTTTTTTGTTGTTGTTGTTCTTGAGAAATGATTTAGAGAACACAGTCTAAGCTCCACTTCAAATATTTATTTTTCTAATAGGGTGATTAACTTATGGAACAAGTTTCCATCAGCACTAATACAGGTCTTAACTTTACAAGGATTAAAGAACTACAGATTTCTTGAAAAATAAAAGGTGGGTTTAAATTTTTACTTTTTTCAAGGATAGGCATGCAGGAGCAGCCGTAAAAGGTCAAATGGTTTTTCTTTGCATGTTAAGTTCTTTTCATTTGTATATTTGCTGTTGTAGTTTGAAAATAACTATCTGTAGTAGTTTACTAGATATTTTGCAATACATACATTTAGAAAATTGTCATAAATTACCTTCTGTTAATTCATTATGGCAGTATTACATTCCTTCTCCATTGAATATGTTAAAACATTTTCAACAACGGAGGCTTACATTAAAACTACACGTGTAAAAGTAACGCTCAGCTTATTTTTCATGCCAAAGTTTAAAAAATCTTACTTAAGAATTAGATAATCCAAGCTTGTACAACACTTCTCAAATGGATAGTTTTAGCAAACTGTGAAAAAAAAAAAAAAACACATGAAACCATAAGCACTGACCACAAAATAATGGCAATGCATAGGCCCAAAATATTCAATTTCTTTCAAATGCAAGAATGTTTGCACACCCCTTTATATACATACAGTTTCAAACATTTTGTTCCAAACCTCTGAAATGTGAAGATGCAATACTAATTAGTGATATAAACCTGAAAATACAATAAACTGAATGTGGAGGCAGTAACTTTTGCCTTTGCTTTATATTATTAATAGTAGGTATGGCAAATAAATGGTTTAAATTTATGGATATAAAGTTCCTGGGTGTTACTAGCAGTTTCACAAATAGATTTAGATTGTTTGGCATATTGAGCAAATAAAATTACAGATGGCTTTTAATTTTAATAAACCACAGATAATGCATATGTGGTATCATAAGTTGAATTAGAAGTATACTTTTGATGGGAACAACCTTAACAGTCTTCTAGTTTGTCATCCTCGCAAACCATGTGCTAGTGGCAAGTCAAATAGGATTTTAGGTTGTATGTACAGAAATAATGAATACAAGTCTAATGTAGTTATACCACTAAATTTGGAGTACTGTGTTTAATCTTGCATGCCTTAACTTAGGAAAGACATTGAATTGTTAGAAAAGGAAAGAGGAGCACTACTAGGATGAAAAGGTTGACATACAAGGACACGATTTCCAAAGTTCTCCATTGGAAAAAAAAAAGTTAAGAGATGATACAACTGAAACATTCAAGAATGATAATGGTAAGTATAGCATTTATACATATCTGTTTGTACAAAGTGGTAATAATGGTAGGACTAGGTAGCAAGTATAAAATATGCAAGGGTAAAAATCACAGTTTTTTTTTTCTTTTTTTTTATTTATTATAACTGGCCGTTTGGCCTTTGGAATGGATTGTAATCAGATATAGTATATGCAATTAATTTATGGGACTTCGTGGGAAAAACTTTATAAATACTTAATTAATAAGAGCTGGCTTTAAGTATTTTAAGTTATTGGTTGTGATGGCCTAGATGGACCAATAAGCCCCTTGTCCTCACACATACATAGTACAATTGGGGTAAAACTCTTATTAACAACATAAACATACTTATTACAATGCCCGATAACAAAATATTACGAGTTTAATCTTCATACATTGTTTTATAACCTTACAGTTTTAACCCTACAGTTACCACTTATAAATATATTTTCCTAAACTAATTTTTGTATCAAAATTGTTGGTCTTTAGTAAATTACTCACATTATA